ATGGTCTTCCAGTGTTCTTTTTTAAATGAGAAATGCAAACTACCGCCACCTGCTGGTATGGAGTGCGTAGTTGGCCATTCGCTGTAGTTGTTGTGGTGTCTTATTGTGTCTTTTTGGCCAACTCAGCTTTTGTCAGTGCTAGTTCTTTGACATTTTTGCAAACACAGTCACATCATCTACTCTCTGCTTTAAGTATAATGTTCTTTTTTTCTTAAACTAAACTGAATGTCATAGTATGACAAAAGTATGGTAAATGTTGAACAGTATGTTTGATTGATTATGTTTGATTATTGATCAGTAACATTCTTACCAAGTGTTCCCCGCTCCTGATCCAAATGTGCTGTAAGCACCGTCTTGATGTTTGTAGTTTAGTTGTCTCTGGTAGCCTGTATAACAATAGAAATAGAGCATTATTGATACACACATTGTCGGATTTGATGGGATTTTTGATGAATTTTGATCGGAGGCAAATTTGTTTATGCTGCCTGCAACATAAACAAATCTGTTTGAATGTACAGACATAAGGAAAAAACACATTTGGGGAATATTGTGTCTTTATTGAATGCCTGGAAGTAGAGAGATGACCGGAAATAAGGTGAGAGACGGGGATGACATACAATAAAAGTCTCCCTGGTGTCCAGGGACTATGACAGGGACACGGTCCAGCAATTATGCACGACAGATCATATGCTTATATTTTGTGCAACCAGCAACAGATTGTTACAGATGGTACGTTTTAAGGTCTTAAATCTTTCTTTTTAGCTTCAATATAAAACCAACAGAGTCTCACCACTGGTCAGGAAGTTGGTAGCCTTTTCTTTGATAGCTGGGGTCAGCTGCTGTGTGTTTTTCAGGTATTGGAGGATGTAAATGTTGGGGGCCAGAAGCGCCATGTTCTGTTCACCACATCCATATGGCATCCTCAGCAGCCCATCCAGGTTGTTCAGAGCTCGGCCCAGAATGTCACCTGCACAAAAACACTGACTCTTTAAGACCAAACGTGTAACTAACTTGACCTTTAAGTTCTTAATGGACTTGAAAGACAATCAAATCAAAGATTATGTTGTTCCACTACCCGAAAAGTTTTTGTTATCCCACCAGAATACAATTTAACATGCTCAAAGAAATGGACAATAGTCCATTTTTATTATTGAAGCCTTTAATAATGATGAGGATTGGAAGGAGGTAAGCCTGTTAACTTGTCAGACTCTGGATGATTAAAGCAACCCTCAATTCAAATTCATTTAGTTTTCTTTTACCCAGGACTGAAAGTGTAGCACGGGCAGATCCATCAATCATGTTCTCAGGGAGTTGTACGTCTGTTTCCTCTGTCAAAGCTTCCCCTGTGTACAGAGACAGAGAATAAACACCTTATAGAGAGAAAAGAAGTATAGCCCAGTACTAAAACAAAGATGTTATTGGGATTTAAAGGTGCAATATGGAAAAATTGAGATGACTCTACACCTATCAAATTCATATTCTATAATAATACAGGGCAACATATCACATATCATCATATAATATTTCAGTTTAATTCCAGTTCAATTTAGCAGTCCTAGCANNNAGATCCAGAGTGGTGGGGCGCACAATGGGGAACATTGGCAGGTGCTAAATCAATCTGAGACACCTGCACAATAAAACTTATTTCTACCTGCAAGCAGTAAATGTCTCTATTAGTATTTTTATTTTTGACATGTAATCTACTCGACTCCTCCCAACCTATAGCAGCATCACTGGTGTAAACCATACTGACCTTTTGGGCAGAGCAGCCAGTTGTACGTCTTTGTCATCTCAGTTCCCTCAGCCTGAGAGGGAAGGAAATAAGGTGAGTTTCAGAGTCTCCATTTTGTAAATGCTATGCAATAATGGTTAATGGATAAACGTTTTCATTGTTATCTGGTTCTCGAGGTACCAACCTTTACTATGAGGGACCGCGTGACCACGTCAATACGACCTCTGTCTGGCACACTCACAATCTCATTGTCACATGAAGCTTGGGAAGCCAAAGCCTCAGCACGCACTGACACATTCATAACCCCTAAAACATATCAACAAGAACAACGTGAAACTTGATTAACTTTAGTTTCAGATCCTGTAAATTCTATAAAAAGTGTCACTCTGGTGGATCTCAGTAATTACATAGAGATGAAAAGAGGTTTTGCTGGGGAAAAAGGGACAGTAGTCCTCAACCTTGATACTTCTAAGCTTGACCCTTACCCAAAGCTGAGGGAGCCATGGTCCAGCTGAGGGTCTTGCGCTCATTGCCACACATAGACACGCGACGCTGTCACTGGTCGACCAGAGAGGGGGTGAACGGGTGTAGTCCCAAGGCAGGGTGCTGGCAGTCACAGTGACCCTGTTCCAGTTATAAGACAAATATTTTATCTTTGTAACCTTGACAATTTATGGCAGATGCACCAATAGCTATTCAACCAGGAGCAACAATAAGCGGATTTTGACCTTTGGAGAGTGCGTCTTGCAAACAGTTATCTTCCAAAATAAAAGGCATTGAGTATCGAAATAGTTTTTAAACTTAACTAGTTTAATAAAAATGAGGGTTAGTCCAAATATTTTACCGAACCTTGGTAACTCTGTCAATCATAATTGAGATAGTAAATACTCCTAACACGAGCATGATAGTGTTGTCTTATGAACTGACTTAGCAGTTAGGTAATGTAAAAGCATTCATTACCATGATGCAGCTGCAGGTAAATTGAAGGTGGTTGCCTTCAGCTCAAAGTGCTCCCGCCCGATGATTGAGTAGGGCAGGCTGAGCCTCGAGGCAAAGAGGGCTGGAAGACCTTTGATCTCTTTAAGCGAGGAGCCAAGCCAAAACCCTGAGGGGACAAACAGAAAGCCTCCGTCTCCCAGGTGGTGATGGTGTCTGGGAACAGTGAGGGACACATCCTTCGTTCCAGACTCTCCTGGATCAAAGAGAATACACAAACAAAAACATTTTGGTGAAATACGTACTATAACATAACTCAGATTTAGTTCAAAGAAAACAATGTGAGAAGATGATTAATGTGTAAGGAATACATTGTATCAATACAACACGATTAGAGTTACTGTGGCCTTAAATATTCTGTGTAAATGTGAAATAGTTTATTCTATGCTGTGTTTCTTGAGTGTTTAGAAGTCAGAAAACTGCAGTAATACAGAGTTCCACGTTACTGAAGTTACACAATCAGGGATCAGTGTCAGTAATTATTTTCATATGCTATTCCGTGTGGCAGGGAGAGCAGCAGGAGAGAGAGAAGCACTCTAGTTCACGATGTTCTATTACCAACAAAAAATAATTTTGATACACAATGCATTTTTGTTTTAGCCCTATTGTCATAAGCCATCAACACCCTTGCTGAGAGAACTTCACCGCAACTTCACCAGGTCCCATATCCAGGTCTCAGTGGAGAAAGTCGGACTGTTTCTATTGGAGCAGGATTGGATTTCGGAGATGCCATACAGGACCAGGTTGGCAGCTCCTAATACATATTCTGTTGCTTGAGGAACAAGGTCATGAACTTAATGCAATACCTATAAGACAACCAGAAAATATTCCATCAGAATCAGAGGGCAGCAATGATACAGGGAGCTGTTTTAATGCTGGGAAATATTCAGAATGTGTCACTTGATAGAGCAAAAAAAAGTCACCATAGTGGCCTTGGTGGTATTCTCTTCCTTTGAACTTTAGACATGAAGGCACTCGTATAAACAAGTTTGTTGCCATCTTCAGACCTACATTCTAGATAATCCAACAACATACAGGCATCACATAAATGTTTATTAAATGTAAACAACTTAATATACTCTTTATATTGTAAATTATTTTTTGTGCAGTACCTGGAAAACTGTATGAGCATCACTTTTCTCGTCAAGGTCAGGGTATGGCAAAACGTATCTTCTAGGTCTCACATGCAAGCATTCTACAGGATCTTCAGCCTCATATGGAATAAAGGTTGCTTTTCTTACAGGCAACAAATCAAATATCTAGAAAAGGGAATAATTATAATAATTATTAATTATTATTAAGTTATAATTCTAAACTGCTAAATGTCATCATTATAACAGCAAACAACTATTTCCTATGTCAACGTATGGTGTGTCCTGAGCAGAGAATGACGTTACTCTCCCTACCCTGTCTGTGGTTTGTTTACAAAGCTGGCCTGGCAGCGCATGCAAGTCCCTCCATGTACAACTGAGAGCAAAGGAAACAGCTGTTTTTATAATCTACCTTGGTAAATTAACAATTAATTTAGACCAAACCAATCACCAAGACTGTTGGAGCAGTGGAAACACAAAAAAAAGATGGTTTTGGTGAGTTTTTATGTTGTTTCTGTCCACTTTGAATTAAGTTACAGTGTTACGATAATCTACAAGGTTAAATTACCATTTTTGTCTATGGAGTTTGGTCTGAGCGATACAACAGCTGTTTCTGATATTTAAAAAAAGATCCGTCTTTAAGGGGAATCCTTTAATAATGTTGTCAGACATGTCAGGCATGTCAGTGGCAAAAACAAGCACTTTAAGTGGACGTACTCTGATGGGCGCATTTGTCCCCAAAAATTATGTTACTGTATATTTTGTGAATATTTTCACCTCTAATTTGATGGATTAATTGCTTATTTTGAACAAAACAGTGTGGTTTTGGTGAGTTTTATTTTGTTTCTGTCCAGTTTGAAGATATTTTACAATTATCAACGAGGTAAAATGACTGGTTTTGTCAGTAGAGTCTGTTTGGCCGTAGCACCCAGTCATTTTCGTCTCAGTACATCTAGTAGCAGTGAATTTTGTATATCCTTTAACGTGGATGTAAATTATAGATGTCAAAACAGTGCCATTATTCATAATGTTTACTCTTACAGAGGGATATACCTCACATATGTTATCATCCCTTTTTTGTACAGCATTTTCATAACAGGTTGCTTTACAACTGTGTAAAAATAACCAAAATCAGCACAGTTGGTCAAAATGTACAACTGGCAAAAGGAGACAATAAAGAAAGGTTAACCATGATACAAGGAAATAGTAGCAGAATAAAACTGTAACCTGACTGATCATATTAATGGTGGTAAATGATTGGTTTTATTCTATCATTTACCTTGTCTGTCTCCAGAGTTTTCCCTGGCTCCTTGATGAGGACACTCTGGTCGACAGCGCTCACTCCGCACAGAGAGTCTGGCTGGGCCGTCACCTGCAGGGTGGTCTCCTCTCCTGGGACAGCTGAGGACGGAGAAAACTCCAGCGACACCTGACACAAGATAGCACACATTGCGCAATCAGAAGGCCTTTCAAATTAAATCACACATAGAAGTCTTGTGGTCTGAGGTGCTCTCTCGCTCACCCCAACTGATCAAGGCAGACGATCACCCATTTAGAGCTAAAGGGTCTGTTCTAGGTTTCTGCCTCTTAAAAAGGCAGTTTTTCCTTGCCCCTGTCGCCAAGTACTTGCTTATGGTGGTACTGTTGGGTCTCTGTAAATAATGTTATAAGTAGTTCGGTCTAGACCTGCACTAAAAGTGTCCTGAGATAACTTCTGTTATGAATTGGCGCTATACAAATGAAATTGAAATGAAAATTGAAAAATGAAAATTGAAAATTGAAAAGGTATTCTATATCTGTAGGGGTCTTTTTCACATATAACTCGGTAAATTAATGTTTTATGTTGTCCAAACCAGTGTTGGTGATTATTGGAAAGACAGTGAAAAGATTCAAAAAAAGTTTATTTAGTGAGTTTTATTTTTTTTCTGCCTCATTGTTTGGTCTGAGATGCTGGTGTTCTAGTGCCAAATTCAGTGGCAAGTGAATAGCCCCAACCTCAAAATCCAAGATGGCTAAAAATATATACAGGACTGCACACGGAAGGCACTGCCTGTGTAAAATTAAAGCAAAATTTATCTTTTTTTACCTTAAAAATAACAGCTTAAAGTCATTTTGATGCTACACTGACTTGTAATAGGTTGAAAGCCGATACTGAGTACTGATCCGCTACAAAAACATTTAACAAGTGTATACTTCTAAGGCTGTATGATTACTATTATTGTAGCACAGTATGACCTGGCTCAGGTTAAACCCTTTGTCAGAGAAGTGTGGGTCACAACTTTGCTATCTGGGGAAAAACATGGCAAACAGAACACTGCTGGAAAGTAGCAGGGTTCTGTCTCAAGGGCTAATAATTTATGTGGTGTCCGATTGGTCAGGACTGGCAGCTCAAAGCTCCAAGGGAGTGGTCTGTGTGTATACACAGCATATAGTAATGTAATTATATCAGTCAAAACGTGTATAGCTGTCCACATTTAGCAACGGTAGTTAAACTGAATTGCACAGTGAAACAGCAGGGCGCAGCCACATCGAAAAAAAAACCACCTCCTTGAATAAAGTTGCTTAAAATAATTAAACTGACAACTACTGTGGTCATATTAATTATATCATTGTTGAAGGGCCACATACTGACCTTTTGTGACACAAATTATTACACTTTGAGTCTTAACTCACATCTGACAATCACAGCCGTTGCCAAGTCTTCTTATACTGACCTTGTGACTGAAGCATTTCTCAGTGGAGAAGTCAGCACTGTGGGCGATCACAGTCTCACTGGGGAGGATGGCGTAAGCCACAATCTGGACTACTGGTGCTATCTCTGCAGACACTTTCAACTTGAAGGACACTTCACCCTCATTCACTGAAACAACAGACCGATATTAATAACAATCATCTTTCACATGCATGCATAGATCAGTAAGTATGCAGTTCACAAATCATTTGGTCATGCTAATTTAGAGGGTTATTTAAAGACGTCATTGTTTACCCACCTGATTTATCTTGAACTTCAACCTGTTTAAGTCCTTGTGTGACAATGGCTCCTCTGGATAAGACCTGGGGAATTTTAGAAAATATGACACAAAAAATGAATAATGCAAAAGTAAAACTTAATTTCTTTCATCAAATGAATACATGATCTAATGTTTTATCTTTGTAACCTGCGTACTAGTGGCCCCGCTCAGGGACTACAGATGAAAATCAGCTTTTAGCTATATCTGGTACAATACATGCATTGTGCATTGTCTCTGCTAAATAAACATGAAATAAAATAAATGATGAACATAAATGTCATATTTCTTTCTTTCTTTCTATTTAAGGTTTTAGTGATGCTCTTTTTATTTTGTTAAATGCTCTTCTTCTGCAATAATTGAATGGCACCTAACTGGAGAATTAACGGCATCATTTGTTTAAACTTGATGTGCTCAATTCCTAATACACAGATAAAAGCAGTGAATGGAAACACACATTCATTCTTATTTCTTAGCTGATTTGCTTAAAATTTGCACAATATTTGGAAACTTTTGGCAATTTGCAGTGCAAATAAGTTTTTTTTTGTCAATCATTGAGTCTATAAACTCAAGTAACTTCATAATGTTTAACTGTATTTTGTATTTTGTTTTATTGCTGTATGACACTACCTAAAGGACCAGTATGTAGGATTTAGTGGCATCTAGCGATGAACTTGCAACTAACTGAACACTGCTGCCGTCTGTATCTGACGACCTGGGAATGAGAACTGGCTGTAAAGTGTGTAGGAGAAACTATGGTGGCAGTGAAACTCGCAAACAACTTGAAAGCAAGTGTTCAGCTTCACTGATGCTATGAAAGTTCATTTTGAATTAATGAGTCTACAAAATTTTTTACTACTAAACAGATGTTGCTTGCTTTGTGGTAGCCTCTGAAATAATGACACCTAATTCTTTTCTAAAACTCAGAGCAGATTT